AAACCAACCCAAAAAAACCTCCTAAAAACCCCACCCTCAAAACCAATCAGGAATCACTGTGGGATGCCACAGCCAGCATAGGGAAGGGGCTGCAGATTTTGTGGCTAGCAGCAGTAGTACCCAGAGGCCTGCAACTAATCTGGTACTAGCACTGTAAGTAACTGAGAAGCTGTGAGAGAAGACAGAATGAAGTGGAGGTCAACTTCTGCCAGAAATATTCCATTTATAGTGTGGCTTAAGTTTTCAAATAAACAAGCTGAAAGTGCCTGTGCCTTTTGGAAAGTTTGTTAGACGAAGTAAGAATGTAACCTTGTGAGAAAAATATGGTGCTTAGACACCTTGATGGGTAGGATTTTTAGTCATTCAGGTTTTAGGACAAGTGTAACAGAAGACTGCAGCTGTATATTGGAAAAGTCTAAGCACACAAAAGAAAAGCAAGATCCAGCAGTAAGAACATGACAGCTATACTCAGAAGAAGCCAAAACAAAGTGCTAGAGGCCGTTTTAATACAAACAAGACAAATTATTAACTATCAGCTAGATCACTGTTGTTGGCCCAGTCTTCCTTCTAGGATTTGTCTTTCCTTCTGGTGACTGCTGACAAATCCCCAGGCAAAACCCTGCCTAGATAACCCCAAAACACCCATGTACTGTACCTACTATCCAATATTAATGCCAGTTGTCCAGCATCTGCATCTCTCACCAGCCACTTGATGCATTTTGCGATTAGTCACACATATTTGTTTATGCAATCTGTATTTTAACTAGCACTGAACTGTAGTTAATTAAGCCCAGCAAAGGAAACCACATCAGTAACATAAATCACAATCACTCAGTTTATATCTGTGTGGGTACACTACATCCATGCACAGACAGAGGTTATTTGTTCTGCACGCTGTTGCCCGTGAGGCGCTGCGATTTCTTAATTGCCTCACACACACAGACAGCAAGTGCTCACGCTCCAAATGCTACCAGCATCATTAGTTCCTTTCACACTTCATTTCTCTATGCCAGGGATTCAGAGGTTTCACAATCTGCACATCCCCCTTTTAAGACATCACAGATCTCTTCTGCAGACCTTTGAGGGACTAATGAGCAAGATGGTTCTAGTCTATTAATTAGCTGCTTATCAGCCATACTCCACAGCTCCCTCCCAGTTCAGCTGCTCAGCTACACTAATTAGACAATCCACTTTTCAGTCTTCTATAACACTGCCTGAGACAGAAAGTTTCACTGTTCCTGAGACTCTGGTGTTTTCTGGCAATATAAGACATCCCCTGAATGACTAATAGAGAAACCCTTATTTCTGTATTATTAATTGCAGCATTACAGCTCCCCATTCTAGGTTTTATCTCATGCACTCTGCCATCAATATGTGTCACCACTGGCACCCTAGCATCCAGATGTTATCTTAAAGCTTCTTTATTTGCATCATTCGAACAGTCAAAAAGCATGTCTTCATGCTCCCTCTGATTCAGAGTGAAAATAAAGGGGTAGTGTTACTTTTTATGCTGCAATCCTTCTCAAACAGGAACAAAAGCAAGCCAACAGACATATGCTGTCTCTGCTTCATACAATGAAAGGCCTGCTTGTATGTCTGAACTTCCAATTTTTATTAGCTACCAATACTTCATGTACTCACAGATTTCATTAGTTAGGTATCTGACACGCAGAAAGTTATAAAATATGAAAATTGGCCAGTCAACCATAATTAATACTGTGCAGCGAGTACAACTGGAAGGGAAAAAACAATCTCTTAAATCAGGCTTAGTTAGATACTTTATGTTCTAAAATATTTCCTTGAAATACCAAACAGTGTCCACGGCAAATGGCTCACCAGGTCCCATAGCAATTTTACTGCTTGTTATCTTGTCTATCCATTACATTGCAGAGCCTTTCTCTTAGGCCAAGCTGTGGCTCCTTTCATCATTACCCAAGCAAGCGCACAGACTGAAGAGGACATGCTGTTTCTAAGCAGAGCCAACACAACGCCACCTTGGCTTTTGAAAGCAGTAAACCAAAATAGCTTTCCTTTTCCAAAAGGCAATGAGAAGCAATGCCAGTGCCTGGCAGACTGTTACATGCGGTATGTGCTGTACACACACTGGTGAGGAAGCCCACCCCAGAGCGTGCCTGCAGAATGTGTATATATAGACACAGCTGACCAGATCTTGAGGCCCTGCTGCCTGTCTCCAACCATGCCCCCAAGGCTGTATAGATCAGGAGGAGCCTGGGATGTGCCCTTGGTTTCATCTGGATGACTGGATGTGACTGAGGTCCCCTAAGGAACACTTACTCCTGTAGACAGCTATGGTCTTTATCAGTCACTGCCACGGTATCCCAGATATAAAGCAGGCTAACTCTGTGAGACAGGGTGACTTCTTTTTTCTGAAACAAACGCTAGCAGTAAAGCTCTGCAGAAGTATATTATTATTATTATACCCTTCCTAGGAGAGAAGAACAAAAAAATATCTACTTATCTATCACTACAAGAGAACTAGAGCTTTTTGTTCAAGGGGAGTTGAAGCACTTAAACATCACCTAGGTTTTCTGACATGAAAGATGCAGAATTGCCCCTCATCTTGCCTCATGCACAGAAAAAACGCATGCTAACAGAATGCCTGGTAGCTGGTCCAGACTTATGACCTTACCAGCAGCCAACCCTCAGACCTCACAGCCTCTGCAGTCACTGGCTTTGACCACTCGATCCCTCAAGTAGCTAAATCTTAGATGTTCTGTTCTCTCCAGTATCTTGGATTTATGGCCACTTGTCCCTTGGCTTCCACACTTTAGCCTAGTTGTCAGCTAGCCTGTCTTGATATTTACAGTGATTACACACTGACATGCACACCCAGATAATACACACGCCAGTCTCTCAATTGCTGGGACCCTAAGCCTTCAGCCCCTGTCATCTGTGTTCCAACTCCAGCTGCTGGCAGGTAGACCCCCATGCATACACACATGCACACAGAGAAAGCCCTGCACCCAGGAAAAGTTAGAAAAGGAGTTCAAGAAGAAGACAGGACAGACTGTGCTGATCAGGCACAGGGCACAGTCAGTTATGATCAGCCCCCGTTTACATGTAACCAGCCCATCTTATCCCCTTATCCCTCTCTTTTACCGCTTTTTCTTCCCCAAAACACCTTGGTGCCCCTTTCCCACATTAGGTTCTTCCCCTTAACATTCCATACTAAGCCTTTGTACAACCCCAAGATATGATTCTATATGCCATAAGGAGTCCTGTACCTCCAGGTAGTATCCATCCTCAGTCTGCAAGGTTCTCCGGAAAGCCTCTCCAATTGAGTCGTGGTGCTGGGTCTCACTCCCAGTCCATGTGGCTAACACGCTCCTGGGATATCCCAAGAGAGGCTAGATTGGAGGCTTATTCCTCTGACTGGTTTGTCAGGGTTCCCACAGCTGCCACTGTGCCTCTGGGCTCCTCAGGGTGTACTGAGGTGAGCCTTTAACTAGCTCACCCAACAGAGTGTTCACCAGCTTTAGGTGTTGCATGATGCAGCTGCTAGTAGTTTAGTTCTAGTATTTTACTCCTGTAGTTTCAAAAGACTTTTATGCTTAATGCATATGTAAATGTTTTCTTTAGAAAATGGTTTATGGAGTACTTCAGACTGCTGATGGACTTCTAAGATGCAAACACAAGTCTTATCTTGGGTTCTGAGCAGTTTATCCATTTTATTAGACAACTGTGAACATGAAGCTTGGGTTCTTTTCATTGCAAACCTAAGAGGGAAAACGAACACGGAGCATCATCTCTCCACAGCAAGAGCTTCACAGTGGAGTAAGGTTTTACAGGTATTTAGGTCAGAAATAGTGCCAGAGCCTGCCAAATATCTGCTCAAAATATTTTATATGAATTAAACTGTTTCACAAGAAACCAGTGACTTCACTTATCTTCACTTCTTAGTTTGGTAGAGTGATGGATACCTATGAGATTATTCTGCTTTTTGGTTTTTTAGGGTTGTTTTTGAGCATGAGGAAAAGAAGGCTGCATAGATTGCTCTTTTAAAAAATCCTTTAAATGAGATACCTATAGACAGTTTCCTTCACCATATTATACTTTCTATCACCTACAGTAAATACCAGCTCCTTTACGTTCTTCAGCTACACTCGAGATGTTGTACAGTGTTTTCAGATTAACAGGTAACAAATGAGACAGACATAAAGCTTTAGTGAATATTAAGCAAATGCTGTGGGAAGTCTTACTACACAGTGAAGGCAAATCAGGTGTTTAGGCAGGCAGAATCTCAGAGCAAATCAGTGTACTGAGGCTGGCCTAAAGCCATGATGGCTTCAAGCACGTGTGAATAGATAAACCTGAGTCCACCCAAGAGAAGATTATTTTGCATGCCTGCTGCCACTCACTTTTTGCTCAAAAGCTGTCTCTCAAGCCAGGTGAGTTTTCAGATCATGTAGCCACTCACTTGCAGGGACTTTACATAGACATACACACCACTGCACAGAAAATCCACCCTGTAAATCTCAGAACCTGAGCGAAGGGTGTTCAAAGCCTGTGTGTCTTATTCCGCACCCAAGTATTCAGGGGCAGAGCCAACAGTTTGCACAGGCAAAGCGCTGGTGCTTAACTAAGATTTTCTGCTTAGATTTTCTGATTTTTTCCTTCTCAAGAAGGAGTCAGTGGGAAGCTCCTCAAGCGTTACGTGTTCCAGCCTCTGCCCTAGCATCTGCAAAATGAAAAGTAATGGATAATTTCTCAGCATGGCTCATCAATTATTTAATACAGTGGTAGTTATTTATCTCTGTATCTTTCTAACCACACTCACATAATACAGTGAACAGAGATGACTTTATTTTTCAACATCACCTGTTTGTAGTAGTTCTGTTTACTGCTGGCTGTGAATCTCACACTTCTGGTACTAGTTCTCCTATACTGTCACTGTCCTCTGATGCTTCTGGGGTGTCCTTCTGCTGAAATGCTTCCCTGAATGGCAAAATAAAATCTGCTTGTCCAGGGGACAGGTTAGGAAATGTGACATCAATATACCTTTGAAAGGTTTGTCTTGTTGCTTGTATTTCGTTTTCCAGTCTGTCCTTCCATTCTGTCATCTTCTCCAGTTTTTGTGTGAGAGTCTTTACCTGTTCTTCTGCTGCTTTCAGCATAACCATTACTTCTTCCAGTTCACCAGCCTGTAAAGTCTCTGCTTCTTCGGGCTGTTTTGCAGTCTCAGTCTCAGTCTCACTCTCTTTTTGTATGATACTCCAGGCAATATGAATCTCACAAATTTTTTCTTTTTTTAATTGCTCTATACTCTTATGATATTGTTCCTCAGCTAACCTACTTTGTTCTTCGAGTTGTTCTAAGCACTTTCTATTTAAAAAAGAAAAAGAAGAAAAGATTTGTTGGGAACATGTGTTATTAAAGATTATTGAAAAAACAATTTAAGTCTATTTAGGTTGTTGTAAAAACTTTCTTATTCAACTATAAATATACATTAAATCAGAACTTGATATAGGACCTCTGAAATAAAATAGGGTAAAAGAAGGCTACTGATGACGCAGGGAAAGGCAGCTGCAGAAGATTCTATTTCTGTGTGTGTCACATCTAGCAATAATTTAATGATGCTTGCTTCCAAATGAAAAATATAAAGGATTAGTACTTCCCTCTGCATTTGGGTCTCTCTCTGAGCGAGAGGGACAACTGAATTCTTTCTTTGAAAATTAAGATAATTAAGTACACAGATTTTCAAACAGACTTTGAGAATTCTGTCCCCAAGTTAAAATGCTGCCTTGAAGTTAAATCTAAGAATTGATTTCCAGACTACAGACTCATCTGTAACTTTGTTTTAATGTTACTGAGAATATATTTGTGCTAGCATGTCAGTAATAAATAATTTGTATTATGTAGTCAAAACGTTATGGGTGCTATTCACCAGAGCTGGGTCAGGGATATGCAAAAAATGGTGCATCAGGCATCCATTAAGGTTATTGAGCCAAATACTTTGATGTAAAGAAAACAATTTCTGCCCTCTGTTCATGCTCCCTCCGCTTTGCTGAAGACATTTTCGCAGAACTCTGCTAACATGAGAAGTTAAAGAGACCAGTTAAGTTTATATGGAATGTCATTTATCTTTGGCAGAAAGGGCATGTTTTAATAGTGATAACAAAGGTATTAAATAATGGATCAAAACTTAAGTGTGACTGTTCATAAAATGAAAAGCATCTTACAAAGCAACACACCTGAACCGATCTTTTCACTGTGATAGTGTTATTTTGTTGTCTAGGTTGTCAAAAAATGAAAAGTATTCTACTCTCAAGGGAGAGGGATGTGCTATTATTTTGACATCAAAGCTATTTAATTCACAATGTTTAATCTATACAGGTAGAACCTCCTGCACCCTGCAGATCTCATTTTGCAGAATGGCACAATAAGCCCCGAGATCTTTATTTCTGATGACTCTAAATCAGCTATAAAACCCAAAAGTTTTGGATCCTTAGTTGCCTTTGTGATATTTGCATTTAGGAACAAAAAATGTTTGTTTTCTACTTGGTGCATCAGTGAGAGAGAGTGAGCCTGCAACTCTTGCTGGTCACTTGTCACTTCCAAATATGTTTTCTTCTGAAGGGTCTATCGATCTTTTCCTAGAAGACCTGCATCCGAGCAATGCTGATGCAATTCCAATCATTTTCTTTAGCCCAGCATTTTTGCCAGCCGAGTCAGAGGAAACACTAAGAGCACCTGTGCAGAATGGCTGCTTCCTGAAAGGCAGCCTCCCTCTCCTGTTTTCTGGCTTTGGCCACTGCTTGCATCTTGTCCCGGGCACACTCCATAAGGATCCTCTCAAGTCGGTGAGCCATGCGTTGCTCTGCAGCCTCTGCCTCTCTCTTCCGCTGTTCTTCCACATACTGCTGCATCTCTGCCTTTGCCTTCCTCATCTCCTCCTTAAGCAAAGTTAAAAATAGATGTAAGTAGTGACAGCAGCTTTTTGCTCAGTTGTCTTTAAACAATCCCCAAAAACACCCAGCAGAACAGACTTCAGGAACATATTATGGGGCAATTACAGTGACTTATTGTAACATCATTCCACATCTACATCACCCATGTTTTCTGCATAAGGCACAAAAAGTTTCCTGATGTATTTTCTTCACAGGTTCGCATGCCTACAGGAAGCCTAACTAAAACCATTTGACCTTAAATGGCGGTGGCCATAACAGTACTGCTGCAAAAAAGCCATTCCTGAGGCTATCAGCTAAAAGCAATTGTCTTTGGCCTTTCCTACAGGTGAAAACCCTACTTCAATCACTCAGTGATATGCTTTGTTAGCTGCCACTGTCTGTTTGCTTAGACAGGAGCTGTGTGAAATTTTCTGCCACTGTCTCTCTAAGCTAACTGTTAGTGAGCATTTAGCTCACTAATGAATCATTTAGCTCACCTCTTAAAATGTACTGCAAGAAACAAACCCCACCAAATCTAAAACTTCTTGCAGTTACTTCAGTTATATCTGCTTCTTCTTTTGTTTCAGCTGTAGGATTCTGTATCTGCTCCCTTGCTCTTAGTCACTGGAGCCAATGTTATGAGGACAACTGTTACATGTTCAAATCCTGAGCACTCAGGTCTATGAAGATCTATAATAGCCTATAGTAATAGTCTAACACAAATAGTCTAAAAAGATCTATAATAGCAAGTAACTGAATGGTTAAACACAAGGAACTAAGCTTCTGGCAACTATTGTTGCCAGATGCTATGACAGCAAATGACAGATCTCCCTTGGAAAACAACTCCATAAAATGGAATGAACTCTACCAGAAACTTAAGAGCACTGTAAAGCTCCCTGCTTTTCCTCTTCAGATGCCAAGCACATTGCTTTGACTGCCTGCAGTATAAACAGATAGCTATTTAGAAACTTGTATAAAATAAAATTCCAAAGCAAAACACTCCAGCAATTCTCTGTGCACCTTTCATCTGCCAGCGGGAGGCTGCAAGGCTAAGGATGACAAGTGTTAGACGGACTGCGTACTGGATGCTGTAGCAGCAAAAAGCCCTGTGAAGCGGTGCAGAAAGCAGGAAGGCTCAGATCAAGAAGGCACTTTCCTTCCTTTCTCTTTGTGTATCTCTGAGCCTTTTCTCAGATATCCAAACAGCCATATAAAACATGTACTAAACATACATAGAAATTCAAGGCTACAGTTAGCGTGCTTCATTTAGGAATATACATATGCTGGCGGTTTTCCTTCCCCACCACTTCATTCAGGGTCCAGGCTCAGCAAATCAACTAAACACCTCTCTAGCTTTGATGGACATGAAACTTGAGGACAGATTTAAAGTTAAGCCTGTTTCTAACTGCCTCTAAGAAATGCGCCTGATCGCTTCAGTGGCTGGCTGAATCAAGGCCTGACAAGGAATTTTCGACAAAGTTCACAACCTTCATTCAACAAAACAACAAATAAGTGAAACATGCTGCAAATGAATTCAAAATCCAGTTAACTCAAGCTCACATCTCATCTAGCACAAAGGCAGTCATCTTTCAGTCTGAGTGCTTCTCCTGACACTGCAGTTCAAATCTCAGATGAATGGAGGTTCTGGTTATAGCAAGCATTTAAAAAAATATGTATTTATTTACACAGAATGACATTCTTGGTTGTCAAACACATGGTTCTGTCATGCTGGCTATTTCCATGGTAATAAAAACAAACTGGTTCATACCCTTAATTTCTTTTCAAATTTTTTTTGAAGGTCTTGTACCAATACACTGTGTTTAGCGGCTGCTTTGTTGAGGGCTTTTTCCACTGCATCTTCCTTGAGTGTTTCAGCCTTTAAAACAAGTTACTATTTAAGTATAGCTGCTGACATTAACATCCTATTAAGAAGAAGCAGAGGTTACATAAACAATAGTTCTCTATTTGCTATGTAAGAAATCAAAGCAAGTTAAATTTAAAACCAGGTAGCAAAATCCACTGTGCCCATTTGGCAATTTTATTGCAGTGATTCCTGTTCAAATGTGGCCTCACTGTAGCACTGAGCTGCCACAGTTGTAAGCATGATACATATATATAACATACATGTCAGAATCTTACATAGCACTGTGGGGAACAGCTTTACCAACCGAGAACTTCTGTGTGCTTTAGAGGCCATTTTCAGACCAGATGTAAAATCTGTTATTAATTCAAAGTATGCATTGTTGTGATCAGAAATGGGAGAAGTATGTGCACACCAAAATTTGTGAACAAAGGAGGAGCTGAAATTAATGACAGCTCTAAAGCAGTGACCCCAAAGTTTTTCATTAACTGTCTTTATGCTACAGCCATTATTCCAAAGAATAATCATCATTTAAATGATGGGAGAAAAATGTAATTTACCTGAGACCAAATTTCAGCTTTCATTTTGTCAATGCACTCTCGTACCTCTGCCTCCTTCTTTTCATGTTTTTCTTGTTCAATGTGTGCTCCAATCTCTGCACAGTCAACACAAGCTGATCATGCACAGCAGACAAGCAGAGTGCAGAACTCCGTGCCTCTCTCCCCACCCCTTTGCTTGGCTCCACATCTGAATTAAAAGTCAAAACACTAAAAAACATGCACTCTCATTTCACATATAGGAAACCACAATTATTATTGCTTGTGCAGTTCTGTAAATATAATAGGAAGGTGCTGAACCCAATTCTCACCTCCTAGACAAGGTCACAGAACAGGAGAGCATCACGTGTCCCTCCTGATTCCTTGTCCTGATGGCCATCTGCACAGCACAAGCCATGGGTCAGTCCTCAGCTTTCTTGGGAGCGATTCACCCATTTCTGTCTGTGACTGAATGTCGCGGCACCTTGGGCGATAGCTTTGCTTCTTTTAGATGTTATGGGTGAGACAGTGCCTTCTTTAGCTCCCTGTGCCCTCAGAGTCCTCCAAGGCTTTCAGAGAAGTCTCTTGCTCAAGATGCCCTCAGATTCCTTCATGCCAATCTCGGGGCACACAAGAAATACTCTCAGGAGCATCCAGCAGAATATTTCAGGTGTTTGGAACAGACCATGCACATACAAAGCAATGCTTCTGTCTCTAGGGTTGCTGTGTCTGGCCAGAGTCCCAGCAGCCCCAGCACTGCAGGCACAGCTGATCCTCCTAGAAAGGGGGTGCAAAGCAGCATGGCAGTGAGCTGCACTGCTTCACAAGGCCTACACCAGGGATGCTTCCCTTAGCAACATGGATGGAGTCTAAGTAAGACATTAACATCATCATCTCCTCCTATGAATGTGCTAACTCAATTCAAAAGGATTGGTCTTCAGCACCAAGGATTGCCTAGAAGAGAATCCACTGCAGAGGAAAGTGGGTAAAGATGCCTTTCTGCAATTCAAACACCCTATCCCACCCAACAGTGAGATCCTCCATCTTTCCTACTCAGTGCCAAGCATGGGCATTGCTTTGGATCCCATTCTCCGTGCTTGACAGGGCTAAAGAGTCACATTTTCCTGGGTCGTCATAAAGGAAAATTAAAAAGGAATAGAGCCACAGGAGATCCAGCTTTCACACAGTCGGGGGGGATTAAGTTTCCCTCCCTCTTTCACTCCAGTCTTCCTCCCCACTCCACATAGGTGGGCAGAGTCCTCTCACAGAGCTCACATGAAGTACATGGAAGACAGCAGCAGGATGGGACAAAGGGGTCAACTGACGCAAATCAACAAAACATAAGTCTGACAGTGCAGAAAGCCTAGTGACCAACATGTTGTGCTCTGAATGCACAGCTTTCCCCCAGTCCCTTTTAGTAAGCAGTAAAAAGAAAATAATTTAAAGAGACTGTCTCCGGCCTTCTCGATGCGTTTCACACTGTGTGTGTGTAATGCAGGGCTGAAGCTTCATGTTCTGAGCACATGCAGGGCACTCATCCCACTGCCCAGGCGCTCATTACATTGATAATCTCTTTATATTGTTTAAAATAGAAACCAAGTACGCTGCTCTTCACAACGCATATTAATTAAAATGCACAACATGATTTCTACATAACTTTACTGATCAGAAACCTCTCTGACAATTAGGCATAGCATACAAAGATACTTCAGATTCTTGCTAGATCCTCAAAAGTACGAATCCTACCACGATTTCCTTTATTGTCGAGGTTATGATTGTGACATGTCAGGAGAACATCAAACCTCAAGGGAATCTACAGAGCCTCAATCTAAGGTCAGCAGCAGAATGGGGTATAAGAAGGTAGGATTCAGGATAAAACATCTCATCTGTGTCCTGTTCAAGGACAAGGGAATGATCTTTGCAAATGTTCAGTCAAACATAGTTCTTTCCAAACTACTTGAGCCTTAGAAAACATTTGCTAATGGTCTTGCAGCTAATTCTCTTTTGGACTCCGCTATGCCAAAGTCTGAACACCGTCATGCACCACAGGACAACTGACCCTGAATATACTAGATTATTAATATTCAGAAGGTAAGCACAGTTCGTTCTTACTGAGATGTGAAAACCTTCAGGACTGTCAAGAACAGATGGATACAACAACTCTTGGAGTTTTCCTATATCTCAGATTGCAAGGAATGTATTTCAGAAACAAACTCACCCAGTATATCACGATGAGTGTAATACCGTGTTATGAAAGGCTTATACTCCCGAAGCCGATCCAAAGTAGCATTGGAAGGTGGCAGTGGTATTATCTTTGAACATGCAGCACAACACACGAAGGAGTCCAAATCAGGACTTCTAATCATTGTGGTGTTCTGGTGTTTTTCTGTAATACAGTTACTACAATGTCAGAACTCTGTTCCTGATAGATCTCTTGCTTGCAGGCAAAACACTTAACTGTTGCTGCAGAAAACATGCAAGCTGGTGAAGAGAGAAAAATCACTGACCATTACTTTTTACCAAGTTAGCTGAAATGTTTGCCTTCTGGTTAGGATTCACACATGCTGACAACTCAGTAACATGCTGCAGGCAGATGATGAGGAAGGGTTTCATGAAGTAACCCCTTCCAGCCTGAATGCAGCTCCCTGTGGAGCAACCGTTACCAGGCAGGGTTTGTTTTGCTCACAAAGAACTAACTTTCCTGGTAATAGTTGAGCAGTGTCACAGCAGGCTTTGCCTTTTCAGTGCCTTTTGGTTTTGTTCTTGTTGAATGTCAACAATTCCTATCCAAACCATGTAGGCAAAGATTTTAGGAGCAGTATAGTAACTGCTGCTTCAGGTATTTGAATCATAGAATTCTGTTCCTGTTCTTGGTAAAGATGAGAAAGCCAGCACATAGAGTAAGGAATTAGCAAAATCCTGGAAGAGCCTCTGCCTGGAAAATCATTTTGACTCACAGTTCCTGTCAAGCCACTTATTATCCACTGCAGATAATTCTTACTGTACTGAAGATGAAATAGAGAAAAGCCAAACAAAAGAAATTGTATTGGCAGTTTGTTTCTCCTCCAGATGTATAAGAGGAGCTGTGCTTTCAGAGCTGAGCAAACAAATTTTGCTACCAATGGAGTAGTAAGAGTGGGGCTTTTTCCCCTTTAATCCCACACATAGTTTTTATGATATAAACCATACAGCAAATGCCAGTATTGATACTATAACACCTATTAATTAACTACATTCTTCTCTGTGTTTGCACTGCTTTATCTTCTTCTTATATGTAATTTTTGTAGCATTAAGAGTCACCTGTGCAGCACCTGCTACAATAAATACGGAGAATCTCCTTAATAATGACAAATCTAAATACTCTTCCTTCAGCCTGGCCAGTTCTAAATTAACCTGGTTAACAGCACTCAATCCGGGCCACCAGACAGGAGGCCCTATCTTGGACAGCTTTCCTATGAGATGCCATTGGCACACACACCACCTTAACCCTGCCCAGGTCAATCCCAGCCTTTATCTTTCACCGCCCCCCGATTTCCTTTTCCCCAGCTTCTTCCAGATCCATATTCACTTCACAAAACATAATTCAAAATTTTGAGAGCTGTTATTCCCAAATATATGAAAACGAGAGACTGGGCTTTCTCGCTTCAAATCATCTGCAGGTATAAGAATCAAAGTGTGTATTTTAAAAGCCTGCAGAAAACCAGGTTAACATGCTTACTGCAGCACTGGGTTTGGAGTTATTTTAATTCATGCAAACATACCAGACTTGTGCATGAAGAGCTAAAATCCTATGCGACCCTTTTGAAAAGAACAGATTGATTCTATCAATCCATCGCATCTTATCAAACAAAACATATTCCACAGGATATGCACAGAATGTGATAGTTCTGAATATTTGATCAATTTGCTTGGAAATTCCTTCACCAAGCAAAAGGCAAATAGTTTCCTCACCTGCAAGCTTCCAGACTTGCCCAGGACCTTATTGCTGTGCAGCAGTGGGGCTCACAGAGGGGAATATGCTTTAAAAGGCTTTTTTCCTGTAGCTTTATCAAAGGTAGAGCTTACTTCCCTTCTCAGGAAGGAGGTAACCAAACCAAGGCTCAGCTGAATTTAGGATGCAGGTAACTATAAAACACACACAGGAGGAAAATCACAGGTTCAATGTGAAGAATCTATAGAGAGATAGAGAGAATAGACCCCTCAAGGCAGACATTCACCTTTTTTACCTTCAGTAACAAAATAATTTGGTAACAAAACCCAGAACAATTCCAAGTGGCAAACAGGTATCACTGCACGTCCTTTCTTCTTTGGACTGTCAGAACCCACTTTGGCCAAAAGAGGCTTAACAAAGATGTTTCAGCTTCTTGGGAGCCCTTGACAGTGCTGTAAATATGAGGTAGCTGAATGGAAAAATACAACCAAGAACATGCATAAGGGTCCATTGGGGAAAAAGGGCACTTTCCCCTGGTATGTGCTCTCCCACCACAGGTTCTGGAGTTTGGTTAATGGGATACCATCTAGGCCATGTCGCGAACACAGAAGCAGCTGGAGAAGCTCATAAAAGAAGGCCTCAGCGCCAAAACAGAAAAGCACCCACTTGTACAGTGTGCTCCCTCCTGTGCTAAGGCAACACCACAGCATGCAGCTGCCCTGCAGCCACGCTCACAGCAGCACCAACCACCACACTGCCAATGGGCCGCCTCAGATCCACACACGGGGCTGTTTGGCAAGACTGGAATTGTTCACGTGGATATGGTCTCATCGTTGTAAGAACAGTCTTTTCATTGTTGATTTTAGACTTCCCACTTCTTATTTTGAGTTTAGTAGATTGTAAAAAATTAGTGTTACATAATGTACCTTGCAATATAGAGAAGTTAGATTTTTGAATGCAGCTTGAATAAACTAGTCCTGATGACTAGTCAAGAACACTGCACAAGTTCTGGCTAACCTGGAGTTATATACAGCAACTGGCAAGCTCACACTAGTGGGTTCACTGATCTGCTCTATGCTGCCAAACAGGAAAGGTCACAGCTGAGTTCTTCCTGCTTTTCTCTTGGCAGAAGCAGTCCTTTCACTTTTTCTCCTCTATCTACCTCCTGGGTTTTTTTTTTTCATGTGTAAGAAAGAATGGAAGAATATCTTAGCATCCAAGGAATATTTTGGCCAGTATTTTAAGAATTCCTTTATTAAACACAACCCTCCAATGACTCTCCTTTATCAGATCTTTCTTGCCTTAAAATTATTTTACTTACACCACTGTTAACTATCAACAGATTAAGAGATCAACTTTTTCTTTTCACACACAATGCATTATACTTCTGTTTAAAAAATAAGACAAACCCCTGTTTTCACTTACTCAAAGCAGAGAGAAGTGAGCTGAACTGTCATGTGCATTTCTAAGGCATTTACCAGTCTTGATTGCATGTCCAAGGTAATTTTGTGTCTTCTGACAGACTGTGGAGTTCACAGACAACAATTCTTAAAATCACTTTTATGTTCACACTTATCTTAATTGCAATTTATTTGTACAGGCATGGCATTTTACAAAGGAATTTAAATTGGATTAAACACCAAGAGAGACATTTATCCATTATTTCAATGGACAGAGGAAAAAAAATAGCAATTGCTTGGCAAAGTTCTGTGACTGATTTGCTGATTTCCTTCCTTACGTTCTCAGTCCCACTTGGAAGTTTTCCTCCTCATATACCTGGACCCCTCACTGTCGATTGCTTCATAGAGGTCCTTTTTATTCTCTATTGTTGCATGCAAATAACCAAGGTAGGCCACACAGAGGGTAATTGCTATGAGCCCAAATGCCATCACAGGCTTGTTCTGACAAGAAAAAAAATAATTATTATCTATACTAGTCAAAACATCTCTTCATTCAACACAAACATTACATTATTCCATCTTGGCTAAGAAAGTGAACAGTAAATGGTTGTCGTACGTGCAAGAATTATCATTGCATTATAGTAGATTGATCCAAGTGACTTTGATAAGCAGCAAGAAAGGATACTCGATTTTCTGAGAGCAAAAGGAATTCCCTTTGAAAAAGAAGACTCTCTGGAAACAAAATATAGCATTGCCCAGTGCTCTGTCTTTTGCTGGTCACAAATGCTGTTTGAGCATGAATGAACAGGCCAAAACCAATTACTAAAGGTAACTAAATACAAACTTCTAACAGAATTCATCTGAACATTCTACTGAGACAAGCAACCTGGTTTAGTGGAAGGTGTCCCTGCCCATGGCAGGAGGGCTGGAACTGGATGATCATTAAGGTCCTTTCCAACCTGTGATTCTGTGTAAAACATGTAATGTATTATCACAGAATTTGCTTTTATTATAGGCACAAAATTTCATTCAGTCTTGCTGGGTTCTGCAAGTGCAAATAAAACCTGAGTAGCATCAACTTAATTGTTTAAAGTCAATTTGTTGCTTAAAAAAGCAACAAAAATAAATAAATAATAGTGAAAAGCTACCAAAAATCCCCCCCTTTCACACCAGAAAGCTTGCACTTTATGTTTTGTTCCCTTTTAAACACTAAAGAGGACTCCTATTACTTAACCTGCCACATTACATGGGTAATTTGTCTGTAGACAGTCTTGCTGAAAGCACCTTTCCTAGGTACAAAAGGATCAGACATAGCAGTGAAATAAAAGCTGGAATAAACAATGTATGTTCTGGGCTCGTAACAATCAGAGTGAAAAAAAGTAAAAATATTTTTAGTTATGTTACTGGGTGCTTTGCATAACAAGAGGTGCTTATATAATGCACACAGAATAGCGACGACAACTTTACAGCAACCGTGTCTCTCCAAGCCCATTTAGTTTCCCTCAGAATGAGCCTCTTACAGGTTTAATGAAAAGCTCTGGGTTCACAGCTCGGAAAAGCATAGTTGTTTGAACACTTCTCAGTCCTGGTTTTCTCTCTTTGGGCGTTTCGCTTGTATTTGGAGGGTTGGTGGAAGACATTTTAATTAATGTTGAATACTTCCTAAAAACAGAGTAAAAAGTGGATGTCATTATTATAAGAAAAAACTACATTTGCCAAGTCCGAGTTCAAACCCAGGATATCTTCTCACAGCATGAAATTTACTTTGTGTATATATATATAT